ATGGTAAACTGAATTTGTCATCTATCCTAGTTATACTTGAATGTTACACATCTTGGATTTGATTTAAAAGTGCATTTAGAAAGAAATAAAAAAAGTATATTTCATGCCTTTACTAATTGTCACATCCAATTCCTATAAGGTGTTCTCTTTAAGTTGCTTACTAGTCACATCCCACGAGTGAGAGATTTTGTAGTGACTGAGATTTGTAATGACTAAATATTTACAATGGTTTTTTACATGCAAAATTTAGATTGTATAAATGGAATAAAAGTTTTTTTTAAAACTACCAGTACATTATTAATTAATTGATCTTAATTTTTAGTCATTCGTAGCCAAGTTTCAAATGAAGAATCTGCTTCATCACAGAAATAGGTAATGTATGCAGATTCTTTATGCTGAGGAAATGCCAGTATAACAAGTCAACACCACAGGGTTCAGGGGACACATTTGTGCTTTGGGGCATTTACTGGGTCATTCATTGTAGGCTGTCAGGGTGACCTTCAGGTAAAATATCTTTTCTGATGCCATATTGCAAGCTACTTCTATTACAGAGCTTCCTTCTAGTAGTTTGTTTTTTACAGAGGGTTTTCCTGTAACTTTGTATGGAGAATAAGTCTTTTGGTTTCCTGGAGGGTGCTAAGGGAGAGGGGAGATTCACATCAAAGGTTAATATTTTGGGATGAAATCATAGGACACAGGTAGTGAATTCTTGAGCTTGGCCTCTCATCGTTACCTTCATGAACCTGATTTCTCCAGGCCTTCCCACAGGTCCTACATAAGTGACCTAAATCCAATTCAGTAGTCAGCAGAACAACTCAAGATAATGATTATTGCTTCAATTTGTCTTCCCATAAAGTAGCTTCTTAATACTTTGCAGTTCTGTTCCTGCCACTATGAACCTCATTGAGCGTGGGGAAGAGCAGTTGACCATTCATTGAATACCTGTCAGGAGGTGAAATTGCAGGCCCTCTATGGCACAGCCTGAGACTGCCAAAGATCAGGGAAAGTCTCCTATGAAGAATGTCCCCACTCAGGGAGAGGCAAGAAGCAGGAGCTGGATTCAGCAGAAGTGAGTCCACCTAACCTATTCCAGCTGCTATTCTCCCTTGACTCACTGAATCCTTCCTATTGTCTTCTGGGACCTTTTGGTATCACCCACCCAACCCTGAAATGTTCATTAAGTCCTGGGACTGACACTGCACCCCATGATTGACTCCTGAATAATTTCAGTGGAATTGGTTTTTGGGGGTTTTTTTGTTTTTTTTTTTACAGGAGGTCTTCCTCTGATCTTGTATGGGGAATGGGTCCTTTGGGGTTTTACTTAAGGGTACATATCACAAGTTGGTGTTTTGAGATTAACAACTATTGCTGCCCTGAAGTCAAAAGACACAGGTAATGATTTCTTGAGTTTGTCATCTGAAGCAGCAAGAAATATTTGGTGAGGATCAAGAATACCCTGGAATAGCTCCACCTCTTTAGAGTTAGAAAAAAGAAGGGTTTTAGTTTGGTAGGGGTGAGGGAAAAGGGAGACTCTTAGATGTAAACAAAACAAGATAGAGAAATAGGTGCTATAAGCCAGTGAAAACATGTTTGGTTACAATGGTCCCAGCCCCCAGGATGCATGTATGCCCCAAGACACTAGGCATTACTCCCCCCCAAATCCCATCCCAGCCTCTTCTTGGTGCAGTTAAGACTCAAATTGCCTATGTCCTGATGCCCGTGCTTCCTCACTCCTTATCAGGCAGCATAGAATTTATTTTATTAGTCCTCATTTCATTAATGCCAACTATTTTCCCCTCTGGATGACAGGGCAGTAACCTATTGGTGCCAGCCAGTTCTTAGTCTAAAATGACAGAAGTCTGAACCCTAAGGGACTACAGGCCGCTTTTGACCAGAGATGCACAGTTCCACTTACAGACGCCATTGTACTGTGTGCTGCCCTCGGCCCAGGGCATTGGGGGCTGAACACTGAAGGGCTCTGCTGTTCTTCATCTGAACCACTTTACCCCACAGGAGCTTCAATTAAAAGACAGCCTGGGCAACTTGGTGACACAATGGATAAAGTGCTGGACTTGCAGTCAGGAAGACCTGAGTTCAACTCTTGCCTTAGACACTCCCTAGATAGGTGATCCTGTACATGCTATTTAACTTCAACTGTGTCTTCATCTATAAAATGGGGACAATTACAGCACCTACCCTGCAGAGCTGTTCTGAGGATTAAATGAGATAATGCTTGTAAAGCATTTTACAAGCCTGAGAGTACTACTATATAATGCTCTAGAGGTTTACCAGCTAAACGTCTTTTTTTCTGTTCCCTACTTATCTATTCTATCATTTTAAAAAAACATGCCTTACACCCAAATCACTGTTTCTCATTAACTGGCCAACAATAGGTCCTAGCCTGTGGTGGCTCAGAGTGAGTGTAAATAGCAATTGTTTCTGTTTTGGCCAGAAATCATGAGGGTTTTCCCCTCCCAGACTGATTTTTTTTTAAACTAAGTGAAACAGGCTGTTTTTGGCCTCATTTTTCACCTAGCCTTAATCACTGAATGGCCATTGCCTCAGACAACCAGAGGGTTGGCAAAGCCCTTAGCTTAAAAAGCCAAGGTCTCCCACTGCATCCAGGGTCATCTCCAGTGGTCATGATCTATATCTTGTCACTGGACCCAGAAGGCTCAGGAGGAGAAAGTGAGGCTGGTGACTTTGCACAGCCCTCCCTCACTTAAATCCAATTCACTTGCAAGTCAAGACATCACCTTCCTGATATCATTGGTCCTCTTCTTGAATGAAGGACAAATAACAACAACTGTATAAAGCTAGTTATCATATTTATAAAGCCTATAAGCCCAATTCTTTTTTGTTTTCATAGCGCTTTATATTTCTTATCTTATTTGATCCTTATAAGGAGAGGTAGGTACTACCTCTCTGAGATGTTAAGTGATTTACCCAAAGGCAATCAGGCTGTAAGCTCTGCTTAGAGCTGGGAGTCATTATGACTCCAAATATAATGTTTTTGCTGCTATGTTAATAGACTACTCCCCAACACACCCCTCCCTCCTACACATACACACACACACACTCCTCAACTTGCACTTGCCATGGCTAGTGCGTGAATAAGGACTAGGGTCAAATGTATTCTGTGGGTCTGCACTCTTAAAACTGTAGCTCACAAATCCCCAGTAGACACAATTAGCCAGTAGACACAAGTAACTCAACACAAAGGCATTTATTAATTTAGGTACGTTGCATTCCATTAGTAAGTCAGGTACAAAACGTTCCCTCCAGATACCTGGAACACGCTCTCCCACAGCGTCAGTAGGTAAATGGGCACACTGGTATTAAGAATACTCCATCAAAGCAATATGCTTTAGATGCTGCAGGGCTAATGTCCCTTCTCTTTTCTTAGTATTCTCATACTACTCCACACTTGTCAGTGTCACTGCTGGGCAGGTCCCTTAGCAGGACTCCCTGTGCCTGCTTCTCTATAATTTGACCCCGCTACTACGGATAGGTGCCTCTTGAAACAATAGCTGGATCTTTTGACTGCTGCTAGGGAATACTCCCCTAGAAGCTGTCCCCAATGGCTGCCTCTAATACTCCATGGGCCTGCTCTGTGCTGGGTGCAGTATCTCCTACCAGGCCAGTAGTTCTACAGTAAGCTCCTTGGCTAATGTGTTTCATCATCTGCTTTCAGGGGCCAAGACTGGTTATTATAATTAATCAGAGTTTGTGTGACTTTCAAGTCTTGTTTATATTTATATTATTCTAAATGGACACAGACCAGTTTTTTTTCTGTGTCTGTATGTGTGTGTGTGTGTGTGTGTATCTATGAGTGTACATGTATGTATAGTGTTCCAGTTCTTGGCTACCTCTTAAACATATTCAACATGTATTATTATGTTTAATGTAATAAATAATATATCAGAATAATCCTCAATTAATGTACTACTTACTACAATATACTAATAATAAATATATAGTATGTGTGTGTATTTTTTAAGCGGTAGCAAAAAATTGGAGACAAGAGGATGTCTGTGTAACAGGTTTCTCTGAGCCCTCTGAGCTCCAGCCTGTATTTTCAGCCTGCTTCCTTATAACTGGCCACATCAGCCCTCTTCCTAGCCTTTCATGGTAGTGCATGTGTGTGACATCTTGCTGAATGGAACATTCAATCTCCTGCCTCCACATCTTTTCTCCAGCTATCATCCCATGCCCATAAAGGTCTCCTTTCTTCCTTGTACTTTTACAGCCCTTAAACCCCGTCAAGGCTTTGCTCAAGCCACCTCTTTCAAGCGGCTTTTCCTGATTCACCCAGTTGCTAGTGCCCCTTTCCTGCCACTCCCCAGATAAATGTGTATTTATTTCGTATAGATCTAATATTTACTTATCTGTGAACATCTACTCCCCAAGGAGAATGTGTCCTCCCTGAGGGTGAGGACTATCTTACTTTTTATATCTGTTCTTTCAGCACTGAACACAGAGATTGGAACATAGCAAGTGCTTAATAAATGCTACAGAAGGGGTGATGTTTTGCAAACAGAAGATCCGAAGCACTCATAACCAAAGGCACCCTGCATCCTGCAAAAAGTCACACGCTACAGAGAAAGAGGAAATAACTCTGGGCAGGTCAGGTGATTTCTTGGTGCACTTGCATATCTGCAGACCCTTGAAGAAGTTTTAATCTTTCCACTCACAAATTCTCACAGAGTAAACTGATAATCCATGGTAGAGACAAATTTCCTGAGGTACTTACCACTAATTCTTTGGAACTTGGGAGTATCTTCGACACTTTCCAAGCATATGACTCCCCGCTCTGCCACCACACCCGGGTGCATTGAACTAAGACTTTTAGCGGCTTGTCAAGGGGAACTTGGGGGGATCTAGAGGAAACAAATTAGGTGAAAACAAATATTTATGTGCTAAATAATTGGCCTAGAGAGTGACAATGGGAGACAGAAAAAATGCATCAACCCTCTTTAAAGGTTTGTGGTTTTGTGTTTTGTATTTTGCTTTCCCCCCCCACATGGAATTTAGAAACCTGGGAGACTCCCTGGTTATTCTGCCTTAGAGGAGAGAGGCATGTGTGGGACAGGGGAAGAGAGAAGCGGGAAGTTACTTATTCACTCCCAACCAGTAGTCTTAGGGAAGGAGGGAGGACCTTCGCCAGAGTATGGGCTTTATAACCATCGCCTTCCCCAACTTGCAGCTCCAGCATCTCCTCACACCCTCCCCCGCAGCCGAGCAGCCTTCTCTGGCTTGCATCCCCAGACCAGCGCCCCCCCCCCTCAGTGTTTTGCACCTCCTGCCCTCTGCCGCAGCCCAGTCATGTCTTCCAGCAGCCGAGTGGCCCTGGTGACCGGGAGTAACAAGGGGATCGGCTTGGCCATCGTGCGCGATCTGTGCAAGAAATTCCCCGGGGACATGATTCTCACCGCCAGGAATCCGACCCTGAGCCAGGAAGCGGTGAAGAAGCTGAAGGAGGAGGGACTGAACCCTGTTTTCCACCAGCTGGACATCAGTGACCTGCAGAGCATTCGGACCCTGCGGGAATTTCTCAAGGAGCGGTATGGAGGTGTGGATGTGCTGGTCAACAGTACTGGAATATGCCTTCAAAGGTACGAGACCTGGGAATGAGACTGCAAATGAAAGTCATTAAAATTGACTGTGCTCGTTGTAAAATACAGAACTCTTCACTCCAGCAAAAAAAAAAAAGGCTTTTGCGGTGAGTGACTTTAGAATTCAGGCTTGTAATAGCTATGGGTTGTTGTTCGGTGGTATCCGACTCTTCCTGACCATGTGCACCATGCTGTCCCTGGGTTTTGTCAGCAAAAATCCTGGAGTGGTTTGTGTTTCCTGGAGAACCAATGGATTAAGGCAAACAGAAGTTATGTTATTTGCCCAAAGTCAGGCAGCTAGTAAGAATCTGGGACCAAATTTGAACTCAGGTCTTCCTGACTCCAGGCCCGAGCTCTATCCACTGAACCATCTATTTGACCTTACCTCAAAATTTCTTTCTATCATTTTGTTTATATCGCCTATTGACTTCCTGGTATAGGAGTTGTAACCTTCTAGTAGAGTGTTGCCACCTGAACAAGTGGAGTTTCTTTTGTGTGTGTTACATCCCCAGTGGTGGTGGTGTTTGCCTGTGGTTTCTTCAGTAAATGTTTGTTGAATTGAAGTTGTTGAATATTTGTACTTGACAAAGCATCTTGATGTAACTCTCAGGTTTCTGAATTGTGCAAGGTGTCAGATTGCCTGGAGGTTTTTGGTTAGGTAACATTACTGTGTCCCTCCCACTGTGTCTCCTCATAAATATGTTTTTCTCTTAGATGTTTAGCCTCTACCAAGACTTTCAAACTTGGTTATGTAATGCACTAACCATTCAGGGCATTTTAGTGAATTTTTCATTTTTCCTTCAATTGTAAGCATCCCCATGGATAGAGCACAGGACCTGGAGTCAGGAAGATCAGGGTTCAGCTATAGCCTGACACTTGCTGTCTGTGTGACCTTGGGCAAATCACTTAACCTCTGGTTGCCTCAGGCTGCTTAACTGTAATATGGGTATAATAAAGACTCCTACCTCCAAGAGTAGTTTTGAGAATCAAATGAGATAATATTTGCAAAGTGTCTGTAACATGGTAGGAGCTATATAAATACTTACCTCTCCTCCTCCTATTAAAATTATGTGAATTTCTTTGCTTTAGAAATAGAAATGTTGGGTTTGATTACTATTTAACTTACTCTTCATTTTCTTCTCTTTCTTTCCCTCCTCCTCCTTTTTTTTTAGTTTCGGATACCACACCTTTTTCTATTCAAGCTGAGGTGACACTGAAAACCAACTTTTTTGGCACCAGAGCTGTATCTGCAGAGTTATTGCCTCTGATAAAAGCCCAAGGTAAGTTCAATGTTTGGAATACAAAGCACTAACCTTTTTTCAGTACTAAACAAAAGATCTCAGTTCTGCCTCCAATTCTAACGATATTGCTTTGTTTGATTATCCTCATTTTTCTGGACCTTCATTCTAACAGTTGTAAAGAAGAAGAAATTAAATGATGCTTAGTGGTATAGTATTACAAGAATTTACCTAGCCTTCTTATTTCTTCTCCTTTTCCCTACAGTGTATAGAGCAGAGCAAAGAAAGACAAAATAACCAAGAATTTAAAAATTGTTTTAAGTGTGTGTGTGTGATTTCTGTATGTGTATGAAGGGTCCTTAGGACTGAACAAAATGCTTCAAAATTCCTTGGGTGAAAAATACATTATAAATAAAGATTTTATTTAGGCAGCGAAGAAGAACAAGAAGAAGAAGAAGAAGAAGAAGAAGAAGAAGAAGAACAAGAACAAGAACAAGAACAAGAAGAAGAAGAAGAAGAAGAAGAAGAAGAAGAAGAAGAAGAAATTAGATTTGATAATCCCTAATGTCCCTCCTAACTATGTTTTTAGGATACATCTGTTCCTCCCCCTTTAATTCAGGGAGATTGGGAAATGTTTGACTACAAGAGTCGTATCTATGACCAAGTATGACTTAGCAAAGTCGTCTAAGTATGACTTAGCAAAAAAAAAGGGGGGGGGAGAATAAAATACCCCTATATCAAGACTCCTCCCCCAACTGAACACAGAGAATTCAGGAATAGTTTTTTTCCCCTCATAGAAACCTGAAAAATAATTTATTCCAAAAGGAGACAAATTTAATTTTAAATTCTTTGGGAAATACAGCTTGGGACACCTTGGGAGAGGAAGCTTTTTTCCTCTGAATGAGATCTTCTGGTTGGTTGAAGAAACTATAACCATCCATTCTACCATCAGACTCTTAAATATATCACTTATTTTTTATGTAGTGAATTGGGAGAAGCCATCTTCAAGTCCTTAGTTTCCCAGGAAGAAAGAGAATAATATTTGTCATCAAGGTTACATTTCTCATCAGAAGAGCCCACTCACCTTTCATGTATTTGGCATACACTTTAGGTAAAGTAAGCATGTAGTTGGACAAAGAGCAATTTGAAAAAAAAACCTTTGTAACAGAAAAAAAATACTGGTTGTCACAATAAGGCAACCATTGAAGTATAGTGTAAATGTTTAAGGTAGCTGGCCTCCATTTATATGAGTTAAGGCAGTCTTTGCAGTAAGAAGTGCTTTAACATCTTGAAGATTTATCTTTACCTGGCTGATAGAGCATTATTGTACAGATGACCTTCCTGCAGGCCAGTGATATTTGAGATAAGTAGAGGGTTTCATTTTCTAATTCTCCAGAGAGAGAGATCCACATAATCAAAATAGCAGTAGGCTAGGGGTGTGCTGGAGCCACCTTGAACCCAAGATGATTGTTAAATTTTCATCATAAACATTTTCACTTTATTGTGGATCTTCTAGATTTAAGAAAGTGATACAGAAAATATTAATGATGTAGACACACTTCAAAAGGTGTCCTGTGTACATCCCCCACACACTGTCCCCAACCCCCATTACACAACATTGAATTGATCCCTTTTCTATTCTTAGACACTTTTATAGCTGCTACATCACACTGCTAATTCATTTAGTGAACTTGTCCATTAAAACCCCAGGTTTTTTCAGAACATCTCTTACATAAAAATACTTCCCCCCCATCATGAATTTCACCTTCTTCAATTCAGCCCAGCACCCTAGTCTGCCATCATCATTCTCTTGGGTATCAGCTGCCTGTTAGTTATCTCTGTTCTGTCATTTCCAGTGTAAAAAGTCTTCCCCCTATGCAATATAGACAGAAACTAAATAAAAGTTCTCTTTTGTCACTTATGCTTCTAAGCAAAGGTCTCATCCCTTCTTTCATCCTCCTTTTTCTTACAATTGAGGTAGGAAAAACACTTCATTCTTAGCTTCCCTCACCCAGTTGCAGCTCATTCTGAGCTTTAAACATTGATGACATTATTTTTATACTCTTAACAGTTATCTTCTGTATATTTCTTTTCAAAACCTAGATTGATTAGTGAGTTACCTGTGCATCCACATTGGTCTTTTAAGACAAATCACATTTTTTCCTACTCATTAGAATTCTGTTCCTATTATGTCTTCAGAATTTCATTCTCCAGCATCTCTCATGTCTTCTAGGCTGACTTTTCTTAAAGTATTCTAGTCCATGGAAGCCTACATTTCTTTTCTCTGAACTCTTTGAAATATGCTTTCCCAAAAGCTTTGTCAGACTACGTTATCTTTAAACAGGGTGTTAAAAAACTTAATAGTTTATTATTTTTATAAAAATACCTTTGTATACTTAAATGTTTATTTTACTCTATCCCACAGTATGGTTATCTAAAGATAATTGTAACAAAAATGAAATTTCTGATTCCTTTTCTTATTTTTCCTCTATGTAACACTATAGGCTGACCCACTAATCCACCATGCACCGGTGTCATTTGTTCAACAGATTTTTTTTTCTCTTTTAGCACCTATGCTAGGAACAGTGGGAAGGACAGTACTCCTGAGTTGTCTGTCTCAGATAGAAATATGCAGAGATTTGTACAGGACCTAAGTTAAACAGGAGAAAAGGAACAGGCTGGGATGGTTTTGAGAAAATACAGAGCTCCTTTAGTAGTCACAAGCTTCTCATGAAAGCAAAGGCCCATTTTCTAATATCACCACTTTTTTTTTTACCGCTGTTGCTATATGGCAGTAAACCATACGACATAGCAGTAGAAAAGCTCCTGGTGAGTATTAGCAGTCTGAAACATAAAACCAGTGAGGAACTCCACAAATCAGTGAAAGAGCACTTATGGGATAAGCAGAGAAGATGGGTTAGTCATGTGGTGAGAATAAGAGATGACAGGTTAACAGCCAGAGTGATGTCAGAAGAAAATGAGGAAGGTTTCCAGCAAAATGGGCAGACCCTCCCCGCCCCCATCCCTGCCAAACATATGGGAGGACATGAATAAAGGTAATGCAGGGGATGGCTAGGGTGTTTGTTGGAGGGACATTCTGAAACAGTTGGATCACAGATTTATTTGACACAAATTGCTAGTGGACCTGTGATCTCATCCATATGGGTACAACTTCCAGCATTATAGATTGCAACCCATTTATGACTCTCATTTTGTTGTGTATCTTGTTGGATATAGCATTTTAAAAAATTAAATGTCTACATTCTCTTCCTAGAACATAAAGAATAACATTTAAAAAACAAAGACTTCAAGGCTACTACCCAGGTACCAACGTTCATTCACCTAGTGGCTTCTAATTCAAATCCATGGGACAACTTTGGCATTATGACAACTCCACAGATTGGTTCAGAGGCTAGGTTATTCTCCCTGTAAAGAATCCCAGCCAGACTATGGGAAGGCATTTATGAAAGCTGCATGATTTGGCTGAGATTCTCTACAGGGAGAATAATCTAACCTCTGAGCTACCAGTTCTACCAGTAGAGCTTCAATGTCCATCAGTGAGAAGCACCCAGGTATCGGTAAATGTTTTTATAGGCCATCATAAGGATTTTCTTGGGGGTACCTTCTCTTATTTCTACTCAGTATCACCTATTTATTTTTAGACATGTGACAGCTGTCAATCAAGAGTATCATTTTTGCTTATTGCCATTTTAAAGACATCTTTGCATATGCAAAGATATCTCAATAGGGGTAGTGCTTATGAGGTATTTGCATTGATTTCGTGATTTTATAATCACTTTGACTGGAAATTTCCTCTTACTGTATCAGAAGAGTGTTTAATTAAACATTGATCAAATATTGATAGGCAGCTTCAATTCTTCTATGCAACATTGCCATCTATGTTCATATACTCAGATTTAGCGTTGTACCTGGCACATAGAAAGCACTTTATGTATTTTTATCATTCATTTCATTTATTATTCCTTTGCAAAATGATTTTTAGATGTGTGGACAAACAAACAATAGTTCCCCATCCTAACAAAATAAAGAGTTGCATCCTCAAGCATTAGAAATATATACCCATCTCACAATATCATGAAAATTAATGAAGAAATAACTATAAATTTTAATTCTTTCAAAGAACGGTTTGTAAAAACAATATGACAAAGGATGTTCCATATGTTTTATTGCAGGTAGAGTGGTGAATGTCTCTAGCTTCCTGAGTTAAGTTCTCTAAAAAATGCAGCCCAGAAACTACAGCAGAAATTTAGGAGTGACACAATCACAGAGGAAGAGTTGGTGGGGCTCATGCACAAGTTTGTGGAAGATACAAAGAAGGGAGTACATGAGAAGGAAGGTTGGCCTAACACTGCTTATGGAGTGTCCAAGATTGGAGTCACTGTCTTGTCGAGAATCCATTCCAGGCAACTGAATGAGCAGAGAAAAGGTGATAATATTCTTCTGAATGCCTGCTGCCCAGGATGGGTGAGAACTGACATGGCGGGACCCAGGGCTCCCAAAAGTGTAGAGGAAGGAGCTGAGACCCCAGTTTATTTGGCTCTTTTACCTCCAAGTGTTACAGAACCTCATGGCCAGTTTGTGTCAGAGAAAAAGGTTCAAAAATGGTAAACTGAATTTGTCATCTATCCTAGTTATACTTGAATGTTACACATCTTGGATTTGATTTTAAAATTTGCATTTAGAAAGAAATAAAAATGAAAGTACACTTTGCACCTTTACTAATCGTCAGCTAATTCCTATGAAGTGTTCACTTTGAGTTGCCTACTAATTATGTGAGAGGTTTTATAATGAGTGAGATTCGTAATGACTCAATATTTGTAATGCAGGAAACATGCAAAATTCAGACTGTCAGAATAAAAAAGTTTACAAAAATTGCCAATAAATCATTAAATACTCTGAAATTTTAGTCATTCTTAACCAAGTTTTACATGCAGAATTTGCTTCATCACAGAAATAGGTAATGCATGCAGGCTTCTTATGCTGGGGAAATGCCAGTATAACAAGTCAACACCACAGGGTTCAGGGGGAACTCGTGCTATTGGGCATTTACTGTGCCATTCATTATAGGCTGTCAGAGTGACCTTCAGGTAAAATACCTTTCTGATGCCATATTGCAAGCTACCTCTATTACAAAGCTTCCTTCCACGGGAATGCAAGGCTTCTCTTGTAATTCCCAAGGTCCTTTGTAAATTTGAGGCTCTTTTGAGTGGTATTAATGTGTCTTGGTAGATTACTCAATTAAGCATACGCCTTAAAAATGTTTGTGTTCAACAAATATACTGAATTAAATATATATGGGCCATATTGGGAGAAGTTGTAGCTCAAAGACAAATGGGCAAATTAAGCTCAATCAGTGTAGTGGAAAAATTAGAGGATTTGTAATCGGAAACTGGGTTTGAATCCCAGGTGTGCTACTTGCTATATGATCTCGTGTGAGTCATTTAACTTCCCCTGAACCTTGGCACCTATCTCTCAGCCTAAACAGGATTCTGTGTGGGTCACTTGATTCAATAAGAACCTACCAATACAGGATCAAGTTAGTAACTGCAGTTGGGAGGCATAAGAAAATTATGACTTTGTATGGTTTTTCTGGGCCTGTTCTCTTTTAATCTTTTTTTTTCTGTTTAATCCTGGAAAGAGTTTTATACCAGGGTTGCCAAACCAAGATCATGCGTTTCAATCACATACATTATGTTTTTTACTGTTAATTACGGCATTGAACCTGTGCTCAATTAAGTGGATGCTGCCCTGCTCAATGGAAAAGAAAATAACTCCTCAATAATTTCAGTGAGATTGTTTTTTGCTTGTCTGTTTTTTACAGGGGGCCTTCCTGTGATTCTGTATGGAGAATGGGTCTTTTGGTTTTTTTGAGGGGCGAGGGGTCAAGGAGATATACCTCACAGGTTGATATTTTGTGATGAACAACTATTACCCTGAAGTCAGAGGACCCAGGTAATGAATTCTTGAGTTTGGCTTCTATTACCTTCATGAAGCTGCTTCTCCAGGCCTTCCTACTGGTCCTAGATAAGTGACCTAAATCCAATTCAGTAGTCAATGGAGCCACTCAGATTAATTATTTTTGCTTCAATTTGCCCTCGCATAAAGTATCTGGTTAATACTTTACAGTTGTGTTACAGTCACTCTGCACCTCATTCAGTGTGGGGAAGATCAGTTGACCATTGAATGCCCTGGAGAATGTTCAAGGCCAGGACCTGCCGGGAGGTGAAACTGCAGGCCCTCCATGGCACAGCCTGAGACTGCCAAAGATCAGGGTAAGTCTCCTGTGAAGAATGACCCCACTCAGGGAGAGGTAAGAAGCAGGAGCTGGATTCAGCCCAGCTAAAAGTGAGTCCACCTAATCTATTCCTAGTTGCTCTTTTTCTTCCCCGACCCACTGAATTCCTTCTATTGTCCATCCATTGGTTATGGAATCCATGTCCTAGAAACATCTTCTATCTTGGTTTCAACATTTGATTGTTTTAGATGGAGCCCATCAATTGAAAATTATGCCAAGCCAATTGGATTAAAAGAATTGGTCTGGAGATTATGTAGTGTACTCAAGAAATGGGCTAACTGGCTTTTAGATATCTCAACTTGGATGTCCAGTAGACATCTTAAATTCAACAATGTCCAAAATTGAACTCATTCTCTTTCCTCCTAAATCCTCCCTGCATCCAAACCTCCCTGTTACTATTGAGGGCACTACCACCATCCTCCAGTCTCCCATATTCCCAACCTAATGTCCTCAACTCCTCATTATATCACATCCCCCCACCCTCAGCCCTGCCCCATCCATCCAGCGACTTTTTATTACCTCCAAGATCAATTACAAAATGCTTGCTTTGCAGTCATTCTCTTGTGCTTGACAAATGCCTGAGTGACTAGTTACTTCCTTTATGTAGCATTCTGACATGAACTGCAAGTTTCCACCTACTACTAGATCAATGTCAAAGAAAAACTCTATTGTATTTATATAACTTGCTTTCTGTTTGAAATACTTCATTTAATTAATTGAAATAGTGTTATCCCATTGATTTAGAGCAACACCAAACAAATGGGAGTAAGCTCTGGTCTAAAAATCATGTATTTTGCTCAAGGAATATATCAGATTACTAGTCAACAGACCTTGGTTCCTAAAGATTGTATTCTGTTTTCCTTGCTGGGTTTTAAGGATTTGCTATAGGCAGTAATCTGAAAAGAATAGGAGCTTTCCACTGGCTATTAGATCAATGTCCTGGGAAAAGTGAATTGGATTAAAATAGCTTGCTTAATAATTGGAATATTCCATTACCTCAGATTGTAATAAACATTTTAATTGAATGATAATAGCAGAAACCTAGGAGTAATGAAGAGGATTGTAGAAAGGGCTGTCCTGGTAAACATCTAACAAGTGGATCTCAAAAGAAATGAATGCATAACATATTTTCTAAGTTTAATCTATTTTTAACAGTTTATCACTTTCTTAAATTTAGGTGCTCAACAAAATAATAAATCAAACTGATCTTTAGAGTTGAATTTCTGAGATGTAAATTCACACCTAAATTTAATAGTTAGCTCTTCTGATCTAATACAAGTTTTTTCCAGCATATCCTTGTCTCTAATCTATTTCATTTAGTCCAGGAATGTTCCTAGATTTCTAGTTATTTATCTGTTCTTAGGGCAGCTAGGTGGTACAGTGGATAGAGCTCCAGGTCTGGAGTCAGGAAGACCTGATTTGATTTATTTTAGTGAGGCAAATGGGGTTAAGTGACTTGCCCAGGGTCACACAGCCAGTAATGTATCTGGTCTGAAGCTGGATTTGAACTCAGGTCCTCCTGACTCCAGGCGGGTGCTCTATCCACTGTGCCACTTAGCTGCCCCTAGGAAGACCTGATTTTTAATCTTGCCTGAAACACTTACTAGCTATGCGACCCTGAGCAAGTCACTTAACCCTGTTTGCTTCAGTTTTGTCAAGCTATTTGGTGACACCTGGTTTTCCAGACCTAAGGCCCTGAACTTGGCATAACAATGATCTTTTGAACTCTGGTTGATCTCACTTTCTGGCAAAGAGTATGGCTTTGACCAGCACCAGCTGTTCCACTGAGATTTATGATTTTCATATTAATCAGTAACTATTTAGATTTGTTGGAACTCCTTCTATTGCCCAGGGACCTGAGAGCCAACATGTTGCAGCCTAAAGCCATCCATCATATCTCTCGACATGTTCACAATCTCTGTTTCTTGTTACAACCAAGTGAATTGAACCAGGTACTGCACTCCTGTTCCCACCATGCTAACTCTGGTTCCTTACCCCACTGAATGATCACAATGCTTAACAACCGTTTATGGTTGAGACAGTCAACTTGCAGACTGTTCCCACAGGACACAGAAACTCCTGCATTGTTCACACATGAACCTGCCATGGGAACTGCTATGCAAAACCAAAAAATGATCTTGTTAGTTACTCTTGTGGTTTTTTATGTATGTAAGCCCTGACTTTGCCCCAGCATGTTAAGTAAGCCCTCCTCAGGAGAAGTAGCTTTTGCTTGCAAGTGTTTTACTCACTCTGAAGCTGAATAAACTTGTTTAATCCCTGACACATCTACCTCTGGCCTGCTCTGTTCGATTCTGGCCATTTCCAGGTTAGAGGCTGGTTCTGGTCCAGTGGACAATTTCTTCATCTATAAAATGAGCTGGAGAAGGAAATGGCAAACTACTCTAGTATCTTTGTCAAGAAAACCCCAAATGGGGTTAATTTTTTCTTGTAACATTCTTATTTGTTACATCAAATTTTCTATTCTATTCTGATATTTTCATCAGGAATGCTAGAAAGTCTAGTCCATTACAGATCTGTTCCCTGCCCCCATTCTCCGTGTATAATTATATTCAGCTTTGTTGGCTAAGTTATTCTTTGTAGTAAGCCTGTATCTTTTGGAATATTATATTCCAATTTGTTTCTTTAGGGTGGTGACTGCTAAATCTTGAGTGATCCTAACTGTGGCTCCTTGGTAACTGTCTACTTACAGCATTTTTTTCTCTCACCTGGAAGCTCTGGATTTTGGCTGTAATGTACTTTGGAGTTTTCTTTAGTGTTTCTTTAAGATGACTGGTTTACTGTTTCTAATTTCATTTTCCTCGACAATGCTAAGCGATCTGAACAGTATTATGATTTTTTGAAAAAAAAAGTCTATGATCCTTTTTTTGGTCGTGGATTTTATGTGATTCTTAAATTATTTCTTCTTTTTCACTTTCCCAGGTCAGTTACTTTTGCTAAGAGATAACCTTACATTCACTTTTATTTTGGCAGTCTTTGACTTTAATATCTCTTGTTGTCTTGTTGAGTTATTAATTTCTACATAGGTCATTCCAATTTTCAAGAAGTCTATTGCTTGGCTAAGGTTCTATACTTCTTCCAAATTGCTAATTCTATTTCCAATTCATTCTTCTGTAGCTCTCATTTCATTCCCAACTTATTCCTCTAGTCCTCTCATCTCATTTTTAAACTCTTGTTCTATCTCTTCCAGAAATTATAGTTAAACTTGTACTCAAGCTATGCTTTTCTTTAAGGCTTTGGTATTGTCGTCCTCTGGGTTTGTGTATGAAGAGTTATCTAGAAGAATATCTTTGCCACCATAATAGCTGTTTATGGTGGGATTTTAAAATTGTTGTTCACTCTTCCAGTTGACTTCCTTACTTTAGACTTTATGTTAGGACTGGACTCTGTAC